GGCTGTTGTTGGCGAGTTGGAAAATAAAAACTGGTGACTTTGTAGTGCACTTTTAATACGGGGACTAGCTGGGGAGCTGGAAGATGAGAACTGGCGACCTTATAGTACAACTGTAGTACGCGTATTAGTTAGAGAGCTAGAAGCTAAGAACTAGCGACTTTGTAATACAACTTTAGTACGCGGAACAATCTGTAAAACTAGAAGCTAAGAACTAGCGATTTTATAGTGCAACTTTAGTACGCGGAGTAGTTATGGAGCTAAAAACTAAGAACTAGCGAGTTTCTAGTACAACTTTAATACGCGGAGCAATCTATAGAGCTAGACGCTAAGAATTGGCGACTTTATAGAATAACTTTAGTACGCGGAGTAACTATGGAACTGGAAACTAAGAACTAGCGAGTTTCTAGTAGAACTTTAATACTCGGAACAATCTATAGAGCTAAGAAGTAGCGATTTTATAGTACAACTTTAATACGCGGAATAGCTATGGAGTTAGAAACTAAGAACTAGCGACTTTATAGTGCAACTTTAATACGCGGAATAACTAGGGAACTAGAAAATAAACACTAACGACCTTATAATACAACTTTAATACGCGGAATAGCTGGGGAACTAGAAGATAAGAACTAACAATTTAGTAGTACAACTATAATACGCGGAGTATTTGGGGAGCTAGAAGATAAACATTAACGACTTTATAATACAATTTTAGTACGCGAAATAACTAAAAAACTAAAAACTAAGAACTAACGATTTTCTAATTCAATTTCAATACACGAAGCAATCTATAGAGCTAAAAGCTAAGAACTAACGACTTTGTAATGCAACTTATTACGCGAAATAGCTATGGAACTAAAAACTAAGAACTAGCGAGTTTCTAATATAACTTTAATATACGAAATAATCTATGGAATTAAAAACTAAGAAATAGCAATTTTATAATATAATTTTAATACGCGGAATAACTAAAAAATAAAAACTAACGATTTAATAATCCAACTTTATTACGCAAAATAATTAAAGAATAAGAAAATAAAAACTAATAATTTAAAAATACAACGTAAATACGCAGAATATTTAAAGACCTAAAAAATAAACATTAATAACTTTATAATATACGGAATTAATAAGAAATTAAAAATTAAAAACTAACGATTTAATAATACAACTTTAATATATTATACCCGATATTACGGACGTATAATAACCGATAATATTATAAAATAATTATAACTCTACACACCTATATACCCAATATTTCGTATATCCGTCGTATACATCACTCTCTTACACCTTCTCTCCCACCCCTCTATTATCGGAAACTAATATCACTTCCTAACAAAATCGTATTATAAAAACTATTAAAATTCTAATTACTTTATACTTTTAAAACTTAAAATTCGCAAAAACTCATATATAAGATTATTCGATCCTTTAATTTTACTTCGTCTAATTTAGTTTCAATCTATAATTAGTTTCAATTTACGATTTATTTCTCCGCGCGAATATTTCGATAACCTACCCTATCCCGATTAATTTCAATCTACGATTTTAATTAAAAATCAATATTATTAGGCTACCTACAAATACGGAAACTAATAACCGACGACATACCGAAAAATATAAATATTATAAATATATCTATAATTTAAAAAATATATAATTTATTTCTAAAACAAAATCAATTGTTTTAAAATTACTAAACGCCTAAAAATATATCAATTATAATTCTTTAGAAGACCGAATTACTCTTTAATCATTCATCCAAAAAAGAAAAATCCTTTTAATACTCTCCACACACGATAATAAAATACTTATTATAAATCTAAATTAGATTCAATCGGAAACCAAAATATCTAAAAACACAATATTCTATACGTATTTTAAAAGCAATTCAATATAGATCTATTTTCATAATTTCAGCTCACAAGTGCTGCAACAAGTAATATCTATCAAATGATCATTCCACCTCGCAGTATCATGAAACCACAGTTCGGGAAACCTCAAAAACAACTCGGAGAGTCATTATCCGCAAACTCAGCCAAAGCGCCTCAGAACTCTAACCGTTGCGAATCATATATCGTTGGTTCCCTTTTGGTCCACGAAGCATGCGGATGGCCTGCGCCGGCACACCACTGCAAAGCGCGTTCCTCTCGCGGGGCGTTTTACGCTAGAAGTGTGCCAAAGATCGAAAACCAAGCATCTTTGCGCCATGGCCAAAAAAGGCCAAAAGCAAGTGAACATTGCCACGATCTTTGGTATTCATTTAACTTTAATTCTTTCTTGTTCATCCTTCATGAAATTTAAAGTGTGGCAACCTCAACCAATTCATCTCAGACTTCATTCCACGCCTGAAAGTCTCTGTCTTTGGCAAACTTCTTGAATTGGAAAACTCATGCCCTTCGCCATGAAATGCAACACCTATTTGCCCAGGAACCCGGAAGTGGCACGCTTAGAGATGAGGCGATTTGTTGGAGACTTGAAACGGTGTGCAAGTACAAATATTTATTGTCCTTCGTGTGTGTGTGGGTATAATTGCCACAATCTTCCACGGATAATGCGTCAAAGTCAAAGTCCTGCTACATATATTCTTGCCTTAGCGTGAGTGCGCTTTCAGGCCGAACGATCCTTGATACACAAGCTTTAGTTACTTTAGTTCAAGGATTTGGGCTGAGCTACCAAAGCTCTTGGATCAATACACACTCGTTGACTGTGAACATTGCTGTATTGCAATGGCAAATCGAAAGCTGATCACCTCAAAGAATCCCATCCAAAAAATCGCAACAATCAGCGATCTTGACACTGTGGGCACCAGGCATAGAAAGTGAAAAAGCAGGTGATCTTTGTTCAATTGTTTGACATAATCATAAATAACTAGGAGCAAAGGACGCTACTAGGGGCTCCTAGGAGCAAGTAGCTACTAGGAGCAAAGGGCATCGCTACTAGCAGCATTCTAATCACAATACCAGTACATATATATCTGTGTCCATAGCCTCTGAGAGCGGAGCACTCTGCGCCGCAGCAATTGTATGTATTGTTTCTACTAGCTTCTTGTTGCTACTAGTAAGGCACTTGCTCCTAGTAGCGATGCACTTGTTCCTAGTAGCTTCTTGTTACTACTAGCTTCTTGCTCCTAGTACTAGGGCCAGAGTCCCTAGTAGCGTCCTTTCTTATTCATATTCGTTGGCAGGAAGATACAAAAGCTACATCTTGGGAAAGTCGAGCTGCGATCAAGGTGCGGGGTGAAAATCACCCAATTGTGAAGAAGGGTGTTGTCCTTTTCTGCAAAGAAGGTGTGCCATTCGGTTTAAAGAAACCTATATTGTAAATGGCCAAAGGGCCACGCTCCCAGCGAATCACAGTGCTTCGCAGCAAAAATGCACCCCTAATTTGCAACTACTGTGGCAATTCCTAGTATAGCTCTTGCGTGCGCAACTAATCCTTGAGCCAACAAACAATCCCACTGCAGCTTGAATTGATCCTGTCTGCCAACTTTTTGACTTGGGCAAGCCATCATCGCTTCGAACTTCCAAATGGCCAATAATGTGTAAAATTGATGCCCGACACAGCCTTTCTTTCAGAGATGTGAACATTTACATTTCCTGTAACAAGTGCTTTCAATGTTGGGCAGGCTGACAAAATACAATAAGTAAACTTGATACAAAACTCCTTTTTGGTCTCATGGCATAGATAAATCGGGGGCTGCCACATCAATTGCGCACAAGAAGTGGAAAACCTAACACGAAGATCGCTGTCCATCACAAAGAAAAGACAAATGATAAAGAAGACATTTTGAGTTACTAATAGCGATGGCCTCCAACCTACTAGCGATAAAGACATGGTTCCAAGCGCCTCTGACACAACACCGTGCCGCCCTGGGTCTGCCACCTCGGAAGTTGAGAGGCACCGCGTTTCGTACAACACAACTGGTTCAGCTCAGCGCATCAGGGTGCCACAATCCTTTCAAACGCCACAAAGCCTGATTCCGAAACTAACAAAACTCACATGTCCATCAAACATGCGACCTGTGCACACCAACAAACAAAACACTCAATTCGTTTTAAAGCTTCTCCGAGTTGATTTGTCCAAGGGGCGTTGCGGCGGTCAGTCACTGGAAGTCGTGACACCTTCACACGTAAACTCGACAGCCAGCAAAACCGTTAAACTCGACAGCCAGCCTTTGACATGAGGAATATGCGGAGCCGTGAAATCTCTTTGCGCGCTGGCAAATCTGGAGAAGGCCGCAGCCGAAAAAGTTGCCCCACATGATCATCGACGATGTCTACCTGCAACTCAAGCCACAAGCTGCATCCATGACGCAAGCAGGGCGCTTCGTTGACACGCATTGTGCATTCCACACTTTTGGCAGGATGGAGGGCACTCATAGCAAACGCCCTTGACAACACTTGCCAGACTTGCGTGCTGCGTGGCTAACTTGCGTGTTGCTTTAAGGAGGTCAGTTATCAGTTCTAGTCTTCTCACAAGCCTCTAATCGTTGCTTTCTCTCATATCTCTCCCAGCTTGCTTCTCAAAGCTGCAGCAATTCTTGCAGCGACTGCCATGAGGCCGGATTGCACGAGATCTTCTGGCCACACTCCCCAGAGCCAACTAGGAACAAGTGCACCGCTACTAGGGGCTCCTGGCCGTACTACTAGGAACAAGAAGCTACTAGGGGCTCCTGGCATCGCTGCGAACGGAGCGATCGGACGCTACGAACGGGGCTCGCTTTCCCTTTTTCTTTGTTTCTAATAGCGATGGCCTCCAACCTAATAGCAATGGCCTCTGCTTGGCATGAATCCACCACCAACAATGTCGTCGCAAACGCTCTCAAAATGCCCCACTCCTCCGTTGATTGTGGCAGTGAGCGTGAATTGAACTGTTCGCTAGTAGTAGCAAGTGCATCGCTACTAGTAACAAGTGCCTTACTAGTAATAACAATAAGCTAGTAGAATTACTAGTTACTACTAGTAAGGCACTTGCTCCTAGAAGCGATGCACTTGTTTCTAATAGCTTATTGTTTCTACTAGCTTCTTGTTACTACTAGTAAGGCACTTGTTACTAGAAGCGATGCACTTGTTACTAGTAGCTTCTACTTTTCGAGATTTTGTCTCCCACTTTTCAATTTGTACTTGCCTTTAGACATCTCCAGTGTTCTGACATTTTCTATTTTTGCCCGGGCACCGCTTATCGCCTTTTCGTGTTCTGTTCCCTCTGCGCAACTGGCAAGTCAATTCCTGAGAACTGTGAAGTGAATCCCAAACACATTTGCACAGCGCCCTGCTCTCTTCCTGAACCTCCCAAACTGTTCCTCCCACACCACACAGCGACGCAATGGACGCAACGCAACGCTCTCTTGTGACCTTCTCGCAATTTTTTGGGCCAACTTGGACGCTTAGGCTTTGCGCAACACGCTTCGAAGTCTGCGAGTGCTCCAAGTTGAAACCAAGTTGATGCCTACATTCTCTGCAAGCCTCAGGTTGGATTGTGGGACGTATCCGCAGCTTGACCATCTCGTCTTTGACCTGCAAAACATCTGCTTGAACTTGGCACCCAGAACTTGTTTCTGCCAAGGCACGAAAAAGTCCTTGTGAGTTTCTAGCCATCGTCTGGACACACGGAAGGTCTGCAAGAGAAGAGCAAGTGGAACAATGCCCCGGCTTGCCAGAAACCTGACTCAGAAACTTTGGAAACTTTGGAAACAATGCTGCAACAAATCTGCGTCGCGGCCGAGAAACTCTTTGATATTCGCTTCTTGCTTGTTGTGTCCCTGACCAGCAAAGAAACTGATGTGCTTCAAGCATATTCTTTTTGGCTCCCGAACCTGTTTCGACTTCACGAAGCCATCTGAAGTCACTTCAAAATGCTTTTGCCTCAAGCAAACTACAGTTGGGCACAACTCAAAATGAACCTGCTCAAAACCGTGGGAAGTTGTGTGAAGGGCTGATTGCACCAGAACGCAGGGGATGCAAGCAGCCCATCCAATCTTGCCTCCATGAAGACAGTGGATACTCGATGCTTCGCACTGAATACCGTTCGTAAGTACTACAACGTACTGACGGCTCCATCTGTTCTACAGTAGAGTGGTAATGCATGTTTAATTTCAAGATCTTGTAGACTACGTGCTGAACCAGCTCCGTTTTCTATGTTGCAGCATCTATTCCTTTCTTTCCTCATGGGACTCATGTGTGTGTATATATGTGCATACGTGACAAACACAGTGACCCTACACAGGGTCCCTTACAATTTTCATAAGCTTTCCAGCAGAAGATTCCCACGTTTTCTGGTTTCATGATTGGGGCCTGCCACGTCACTCTCAAATTCCATCCCTTCCCAACACATCCAGTAGTTGTTTAGATGTTGTGATCGCATATAGTGGTCGAATGAGCTTAGCGCTGGACTGATGCCGACGGGTTGGGCCTGTAGGGTGAAACCCTAGTTTCCTCTCCTGTTCCTTCCTGTTCTTCCTTCCTTCGTTCCTTCCTTGCTTGCTTTCTTTCTCTTCAGCCCCACTCTTTTCAAACAATTGGGCTCTGCTGACTCTTAGCGCGCAGGGCTGTCGTGATGGTGCTTCAAGCCATCTGCACAATAGTCTGACCTCTTCAGCGCCTTACTTTCGGAAAGGCATCATGTGTTCAATCGCCAAAACTTTAGCTTATTAAGTGCAGCCCTGTATGAAAGGTGCACTGTGTGTGTGTGACCGTGTGTGACTGTGTGTGTGTTGGGGGGGGACGCGCTGGAATCGCTAGGCGGCTTTTCCAGTTTTTTCACCAAGCAGTTTACTGTTAGGGCTTCTCAATGGCCATGCAGCATTTCTACTCGTGTGTCTCCAATGTGATTTGTTTACTTTTGTTTCCTTGATTTCTGTACTTATGTCTCCCAGGTTCGGTGCCTGCACTGCTGGTGTCCGCCCTTTCCGCTGGCCATGCAGCATTTCTGTTCACTTGTCTGCCAGGTGATTTCTTTTTTTTAGCCAAGCAGGATACTGCTAGGGGTTCTCAATGCTTTCTAAGAATGTCCGCCTTGCTGCAGGATCCGTCCGGCTTGTTTCCCTTTGTCTCCCTTCTTGTTGGTCATTGTGTCCGTCTTGTCTCCCTTCTGTTTCCTTTTGTCTCCCTTCTTGTCTCACTTCTTGTTGGCTGCGTGCATTATTGTTCCAGCCAGTCGCATGTCAACAGGTCGTGGGATTCTGCCTAGCTATCTGGGTCTATGCTGGTGTAATTTTTTTCAATTTCTTCGTCATGCTTGCCTTAGACTGCTTGCTCTCCTTCTGTCTTTGCTGGGCTTTCCTCCTCGCAGTCGTATTTTCACCTTAGTCCTTAGCTTTTCTTGACCTGTCTGTCTCCCAGAACCATGGGGCTCTGACTGAATATGAAATGAGTTGCCTTGGAAACAGGTCAGTGCAGCGCAGCTGTTGCGATCTTTGGAAGTGGGCGCTGTGGAGATGGGGTGTTGGTGCAGGTGCTGTGGGGCAAGGTGCGTGCTCTTCAAGTTGTCGGTGGTGCTGTTCCGGGTGCCTATGTAACCGCATACCCAAGACATGTTTCGCCACAAAGGTGGTGACTTGTTGGCGACTTGATTCTCAACCACGATTGCATTTTTTGTTTTCGCTTTCGATTTCTACCGCAACTTGCTTGACATCTGGTGCTTTTCGTCACTCAATCTAGACAGAATCACAACATGCACAAGCCTCTGGTCTTCAAACATGCACTTGTTCCTAGTAGCTTCTTGTTACTACTAGTAAGGCACTTGTTCCTAGTAGCGAACAATGTTACTACAGTGCAAGGCCAAGCTGCAAAAAATCACTCGAGATGCCTCGAAGAACCTCAAGAATGGTCGGAAGCGAAGCGCTGATTCGGCGCACAAGCAGCGCACCGCTGGTCGCGCACCGCGCTGGTCGCTTACCGCTGAGGAGGCAACGCTCTTCAAAGCTTTCAGTTTGGCCGAACCACCAATGCGCTTGAGATATTCTTCCACCTGCTGCACCTGCAGCTCTCTTGCTCTTCCACTCTCAGGGTCTGCATTTTCTGGGTCTCGGGCTTTGTCTTCGGGTTTGGTCTTCTTCGCGCTCCGAGCAATGCTTCGCAGCCGTTTGCCTAAAAACACTGTAGTAACAATGTTCGCTACTAGGAACAAGTGCATCGCTACTAGTAACAAGTGCCTTACTAGTAGTAACAATGTTCGCTACTAGGAACAAGTGCATCACTACTAGTAACAAGTGCCGTACTAGTAGTAACAATGTTCGCTACTAG